AGTGTAGGTATAGGTTGCTATAAAATATTGTTAGTGTAGGATTAAGAACGTAGATTCAGCAGATTGGTTCCCTAGAATCAAAGTTTGTCATATATGCATTCCATATTATCTGATATCTTGTACAGCTTCGTGATTATTTGAGGAATGATGGACGCAAGATGAATTGATGTAGGATGTAGAGAAGCTATACTTCACTGTGAAAGCTAAGCAATGACCTTTTAGTCTTTAATTTTCCGCTCTACTTGCTCTTGAATTTGCCTTCCATGCTATCCACCTCATTGATTCTAAGTATGCAATAAAGACGCCTAGTAATATTTTTTCGTTATTGAGTTGGTTTTTGAAACTACCAGTAAATCAGACATGAGATTTGTTCACCCTATTTCGTTTAAGGGGATGAAGGACTGGCAGCTGAGTTTTCCCACTGATATGAGTAGAGCTTACGTTTCCATTGAATTTCGCATAGCCTTGCTTTCCCAAAGTGTTATCATTCAGGGTGAACTGCAGTCTCGATCTCGCCTAGGTCTTATCAACATCCCCAGCGGGAGTCGAACTATAACAGTGTAGTGTGTAATCTCGACATGGTAACCACTACGCCACATTGCCACGAGCGCCCTTGGGTCACAAGGCAATGCGAATTTTAAGGGTCAGGCATTTTCCATGTCACATTCTGTGTTGGGATTGTCGATGAGGCAAACTTATATTTGCTATAGCAATCGACGACATTACTTTTTTCGTTATTGAGTAGGTTTTCGAAACTACTTATCTCATATATATGACTTAGTAATAATAAAAAACTAATGTCGTCGATTGCTATAGCAAATATAAGTGCTTCATCGACGATCCCAACACAAAACGTGATATAGAAAATGCCTGACCTTATTTGAAATCCACATCGCCCTGTGACCCAAGGACACTCGTGGCAATATGTCGTAGTGGTTAACGTGTCGAGATTACACGCTGCACTGTCATAGTTCGATTCTCTCTGGGGGTATTAATAAGTCCTAGGCGAGGTCGAAACTGCGGTCCTTCAGGATGAGAAAACCTTTTGGGAAAGCAAGGCCTTGTGACATTCAATGGAAACGTCAGCGCTAATCATATCATTGTGGGAAAATTCAACTACCAGTCCTTCATCACCTTATACTAAATAGGGAGAACACAACTCATATACTTAGTAATTAATTCGAGATAGAAGTAATGATATTGAAAAATGAGCATTACTTAATTGAGTTTTAGCGTAGCATCTTTGCACACTATCGATATTTCTGTAAAGTCTATAAGGGATTCATTAATATAGATCCTTCAAATATTGTCGCTAAGCCTCTTTTTTGAGCATGCCTCGTTTAAGCCATTTTCTGGCTTGGGATGAATGGGGATAAATTAGGATCTGATTTGGAATCTTACTCTGTCATGAAGGCTATGCATTAAAACGATTTCTTATTCGTCCTAGATAATCCTCTATCTATAAGTTAATAAATCGGATAGGTGTTGTGCCAATTTAACGACTAAGCAATACACCTTCCTTTTAAATGATCGAAATATGCCTCAGTCGCCATATATTTCTCGCCTACATATAGGGGTCTATAGAAAGAAAGTTTAGGGACCTTTCTCAGGTTCCTCTCTTGTTAAGTCCCAGCGCTCATCTCGTCAACCTTGTTGCTATCTTCCCAGATGTCAAATGCGTGATACACTCTTATACGCCACTTTTTCCCTCCCGCTTGTGGAATGCTACGTACGGTTGGACCTCTGCGCAAGCAGGACCACGCCTGACCAGATTCTAAGTTCCAGACAAATTCTTCCAATGACTATTTTTTGTTTCCGTATCTATAGGACTACACTCGCTCCGCAGAAGCAATCCGGCTTTGCCGCTGGTCCGGTTTCAGATCAACCTCACTTATCCGTCTTGGGCCTCCACAGTGTCACATTAATTGGTGTCTCCTCTTTGGTTCCACAACTCCAGCAAACTATTTCGGTTGTCTTGCCCCAGCTCCCTCTTCTTAATATCCACCTGATTACTTACCATTATCGAAAATACAACCAATCAACGTTGTATACCTGACATCCACGCAGCTTTATAACCTTTGAACTTTTATGAGTTACATTGTTGGTTTGGGAATGTCAAAGTCAATGGTCCGATGCCGGAAATCACGAATATTATGACAGAGGACACAGGACTAAGTACGTTCCACTAGGTCTACCTAACGCTCCGACCAAGTTGCGATAACGAGGTTTAACTAATACTATAAAGCTAAAGTAGACTGTAAACAAGCAGAAGGCCACACCATTTTGATCTTCATATCTACGATTTTATGAGTTTGATTCACCCTATTCTGTTTAGCTTGATGAAGGGCTGGGGATTGAAGTTCCCACAATCATATGAGTAGAGCTTACGTTTCCACTGAATTTTACATATCCTTACTTTCCCAGAAGGTACTCTCATCCAGGATAGACCGTAGTTTCGACCTCGCCTAGGTCTTATGAATACCCCCAGCGGGGGACTTTTACCTTTTCATTAGCATTCAGAACACTTTCCGAGGTATAAATCGCCTGATTGGAATTGGATTTTTATGTTACATTAGAGAGATGTTGACATTAAAACGTTTATTTTAGCCTGTATGCTTTATATTCCTGCTTTTCTTTAGCATAGAAGACTTATTTTAGCTTATTTCTAAGGTCCTTTTCATATGCACCCCTAATATCCTATACGTAAGGCATACAATCGCCCCTAGAGAAAATGACGGATATCCTGTGATATATTTTTTGACGAAAATCAACTCACCTTGCCATTTGCACATTATCCTGCTTTTTTAGTTTTACTGAGGCCCAACTTCTTCGACTCCGTCGTCAGCTTGGAATGCACATTCAACTCTTGGCTACTACCTTTCTGTTGACATATGATCAGCCTCTTCACTATGCTGATATCACAGAGCGCTCCGCTAGGCTCATCCTTGATCTTCATTCGCGTGGAGCTTCTCTCAATAGCGTGGCCGGCCCTTCCTCTTTTGACCATGAGACTAACGATAATGTTGATGTTTCAGCTTCTCACGATGGTAAATTAGTAAACATGCCAGTTAACACCTCTCCACTCAGTCTGCTGGCATCCCAGACATCAGCAGCTTATCACTTGGTGCAGAGCTACGCCGGACTTGAGTTGCTACCCATCCTTCCGAATGCCTCTACAGAACATTCAGTTACGAATTTCCGTGATATTGGCGACAAACTGTACTCTGTTGCGGCGTCACCTCTACCTATTATGCCAGCCCCGATACCTCTATGTCTGGCTCGTTTATTCGTCACTAGCCCGATCTGGTGTTATCCAGATCTTCTTCTTTTCAGCATGCCGGCCTCATGCAAAGGTGAGGGTATGCCTAGTCCCAGGAAGCGCGCCTTCCTTACTTGCGAGGATGTCCTATTCTTGATCGGGCTAGCCAATTTTGCTGGAGCTTGGACTGACCTGATCAGGGCAAAAGCTGAGACGAATCAGAATGAAAATGAAGATCAGGAGCCTTTGCCGATACGCCGATTCTTTCGTGCATATTCCGCCATAGTGCAGCATCTTCTGCCTCATAGGAGTCCTGCACAGCTTCGCAAGAGGCGCACCAATTTGGTCATCTCAACCGAACAAATGCCTGCTTCCATAGAGGAAATGATTTCGGCCGTCGATAGCCCTATCAGTCAGCCATCCCGAAATCGGCGGGCTCGATATGTTCGCCAGTTATTGCGATATGCGCTAGTTGGTTTACCCGCCGATAAGCGTCCCGAAACTTTGGCTCGACTGGCTGAGAAAGCAGCCCGTTTGACCTGGGTATCCAGAGTAGAAGTGGCTCCCATTGGCAAAGAGGCGTCTCTTATCTTGCGACCACCGGCCTCCTGGACTAGCCTGCCTCGTTCTAGTGGACTCCCTGAGTTATTGGCACATATAACTCGGCCACTCTCCTCGGCAGGTATTAATTCTGATCATCCAGATTCCTACGAGCGCACTATACTATCTCGCCGCTCCTGGAACTTTCATGAATTGACTGAAGATCGTCGCCGATCCGACAGCTCTGAGCGTGGAGCTCGGTGGGCTCAAGATTTCATTGGCCCGACTAATCGCTGTCTCTGGTGGCTGGCCCCACCGCCTGACCAAGCAGAGGCTGTTTGGACAACCAGCCCCGTACCCCCTGCTGAATTTGCCTGCTCTATAGACTCCAGTCCTTTGGTTCGTGTCATTCAATTGCTGTTTCAGTCTTCCTATCCTGCTCCCACGAAAATAGGTCAACCTTTTCCGCCGCCATCAAGTATTAGCGCCGATCATACTAGGGCTCCTACTGCTGTTTTTTCAACTTCCACGAATGATCCGAATGAAAGCGCAGATCTGTCCAGCAAGAAGGAAGCAGAAATAGCTGAGACCTCATCGGCTTTCGGGACCTTGTTTCCTTTGGATGGTCCGAATTTATTGCCCTTCATTCCTGTGGAATTCACGTCAGATGGGTAGGGTCTCGTTGCTCATATCTTTTACTTATTACTTCAGTTGCGATTTTATTATTATTACTTACCAAAATGCATCATTTACGCC